CCCCCCCCCCCCATCCCAGGCCCCTCCCCTAGATCTGCCACTGTTATTAATTTTGTGTTTGCTCTGCATTGTATTTAGTTCAAAAACATTGACATAGACCATGTTGTAACCAGCAAGAACAGCTGGGAACTTTTCTCACTTGTCATTGACAGCAAGATGTTCTAAACGGTTATTTGCACTATTTAAGAGTGCTATGTTACATTATCAAAAACTGGATCATTGGATAATGCAATTTGAGAGTTTTCATTGGCTCAGCCATCATGGGTTACGAGCCATTATACCATGCTTTACTAATAGTATATAAAGCATACATGTGAATTTTTGGGGCATTTTCATGTTTATTTCAGTCTAGTTTCCTATAATTTTGCGGCATTTTTAATAAAACAGTTATTCCACTTGCGTTTGTTGGATATGATTATAGCCAACTAGGCACTACACTCCTTATTGGCTATCTACCATCTCACATCCAATACATGCTCGTGGAATAATAATTGTTAACTACATACTGGATGAAATAATGTTGCTTTTGGACTATAAATCACAGTCTGCTTCTTATTTAAGGGTGTGTTATACCTGTCCAGAAAATAATGCTTTTATTTTTTGTTTGAAACCCTCATCCCTCTGGATTTCAGTTTTGATTCATACTTTCCTTTAAAAGCTTTGGCTTTTGATACCCCTCTCCCCTTTGAAACTTCCAATAACCCTCCTTGGGGTGGGTATGGGTATTTTCTTGAACATTAAAATCAAGTGGAAAGGTTATTTGGATCATGCGTAGGAAAGGCTTCTGCAGTCGAGCATTGATCAATACTCTCAATTTACCCTCAATCCACTCTTGATCGATTCAAGATCAACACTCCATCAACACCTTGGTTACATGAAATTGACACTTGATCAACACTCCATCAACATCTCGGTCGACAGTCGGTCAACAGTCAACTAATTTTCGATCCATACATATGAGTCGGTTGACACTCAGCCGACTACTGACTGACTTTTGATCAAGTGTTGATAAAGTGTCGACTGAGTATCGATTGGGATGTCAATCAAGCACCGATTGAGATGTTGATTTAATGAGGGTATTAATCAAGTGTATTGATCTGTTTAAGGGTCACAAGTGATGTCACTATTATACAATGCAGACTACTGAGTACCTTGAGTATTCTGCTCCCTAGATTAAAAAACAGAATGCTCAGAATACATGAATACATTCCAGGTAAGCCAAGCATTTCAGGTAAGCCTACCTGACATTCTCTTGAAGGTCTGTGTTCTGTCTCCAGATATTGGTATTTTGGCTGCTGTTTGAAGCATCTTGGTTATGGCAGAAGCAATATTCTCTTCATTTTCTAGATCACCAGATGACTACAGAAATCAAACTATAGAAGTCAAGCTAAGGTTGTAATCAAACTTGCGATCCTGTCTCTGGATCAAAGCACCATTTTAATTACTGACACCTGATGTAGTGAATGCTGCATTTATTTCTTTTTCCCCACCCAGATGTATGAATGAGTACTGTTGAATTGTTCATAGCACATAATGGTAACAAAGCATTGGGGTATCTTGCCACACTCTATGTCGCAGAAACTGCAATTACGTGCTAGCCTGTAGAACCCACTAGACTTTACAAATGAAACCCAAGCTAGTAACATTTAGCATGATTTCCGAACAAGACATAGACAATATGCACCAGTGACACTTACTGCAAGCACTGCACCATCTGCATTTAACACAAGGTATCCCTGGACATCTGGTATTTTGTCTAAACCATGAGGTAAAGGATTTGCCTGACAAAAGAGAAAGAGAGAACATTGAACTTTAACACTATCAGAATAAACATTTTCCTTGTTTAAAAAAAAAAAGAAATACGAAAACATCAATCAGATAAACACCTCCAACAGGACTCAAACCTGTGGCTCTTTAGTTGAGGTTAATTTCTCTGAATATGAACAGACTGCGCGAGAGACTCGAACTCATCACACGGGCAGTTCGATTCGCGGAAGACTGAGGGTTCGAGTCCGTTAATTGTAAGTTTAACTTTTAATACGTTTTGTAGAAGCTGTCACGACTTTCATAGAGGAACGTATATAGCCTGCAACCTTCGAATAATTTTGACTTGCCAACATCAAAGTGTTCCATTGAGGTTTTTAGAGTTTCTCCACGTTTTCTTCCAGTAAACGTAAGAGATTCTACTTTCTGTAAATGAACTACTGAATGTACACGCAACTAACAAGAAAATGAATCAAATAAGAGCTTTAAACTGCTACCTTGTACTTACCATTTTGTCGGAAATCTCGAAAAATCACGAGATCCACAGATAAGACTTAGCAACCATGCCTTTTGTGGGCTATTGTTTAGTACCCAGGTTTAAAATAATAACTTTTCCACCCCAAAGACATGCTCGCCTCCGTGGCCTAATGGATAAGGCGTCGGCCTCCTAGTCGGAGTGCCAGGTGAGCACTTACTTAGTCAGCCGAAGATTGCGGGTTCGAGTCCCGTCGGAGGTGCTTTTTTTTTTCTCTCTCTCTTTTTCTTTTTTTTGTTACATTGAATGAACTTAAAAAAAAAAAAGTGTTTTATCTGTTTCTGTCATACTTATTAGGATAAACCAACTGAAAGAGTGATTTTGCAAGTCCCGCGGTTCCTTCCACGCCACAACCACACAAAGGAGGAGATTGTCATGATCAGCGATCAGGTCAAAAGCCTAAAAGGCAGTAAAAATGGAATGTTGCGAAGATTCCAAGTTCGAGTCCATCAAAGATTTCAAATTTCCTTAGGACTCGCAAGTCACAATAGACCTTATCACGGTTTTCGACGCCATCTTGACGAGTAGGCAAAGCGGCCAGAAAATGATTCCCGTGTTTGTATGGCAATCCGACGGCAAATAACTTTTTCCAAAATTGAATTTTACACAATTTGTGAATCAAAATATTAAGATACTAGCTAGAAGATTGTATTCACCAAGTGTGAAGGATGTGGCTTGGCTAGAAGACGCTCAGTTATTATTTTCTAATTTTCCAAACATTTGTCATTAATTTTTTTTTCCCGCGAACCGAGTCTAGACGTCAATCTACCCAGCCAAATTTACAAACAAATGTATGAAAAATTAGAAAAATTAACTGAGCGTCTTCTAGCCAAGCTAAATCCTTCAAACTTGGTGAATACAATCTTCTACCTAGTATTTTAACGTTTTGATTCACAAATTGTGTAATGAAATCTATCGTTGTCGCTCAATGGAGTCCAGGCTTCTCCGCGGAGGTGAGACTGTCCGGTGTCACACAAAAAGTTTATCTTACTGGCAAACAGTTGAATTTTGATTTTAGTATTACGTGTTTCGCGGCTATAATATCAGCCAGTTAAGCGAGTCTGTCTGTTAGCAAAGGATTTTCATCTTCGCAGTTATTTTTCAGTGATGCAGCAAAATAATTAAGTAAGCTGGTACATATAGTTATTTCGTTTGCCACTATCAGTATCAGTTTTGCTGTTAAAAAAAAAGTTATTGCCCACCAAAAAAATTCATGCACAACCTAAAGGCAAGAAAAAAAATTCAGGCCTCAGAAAATTTTTCTTCAGTTTTGTCTTGGGTGACCCACTGGGGATTCCAGAATAGTGCGTTGTCTGGTGATTTTGTTCAGCGGCATGAGCGTGTACCCACACCATATCTTGCCTAATATATATCTTGCCTAGTTCATGAGGTGTACAGCTTTCTCCCAGGCCTTCATGGTCAGTTGATTTCGGTGACGTATCCGAGACGAACGGCCAGACACTTTTCGCCTCGGACCACGTGACCCGAGGGAAATCCTCTTTCACCACTTGTAAAAAAAAAATAGGCACACGAGGCGTGCATAATCTACTCCATCATTGACTGACTGATCGATTGATGGATTTGTTTTCATATTTGTTCTTAGATGGTGGATAATGGCGTTCTTTGATGCCTGATAGGAATTGGCGTTTTCAAATATTGAGAAGCTGGGCAGTGTCATAGTGGCAAATTTTCGTTTTATAAAAAAATTAAAAAAAAAAAAATTCGTTTGATGCTGGTAGTCGACGATTCTAGTCGACCACAATCAACCTCTCTGGGTGCACTGAGTCAGTCTCGTGACTTCAGGTTTACGATTACTTCTGAAGGGCTGCGTCTCAAAATTACTTTACGAAGGGCTGTGGCGTAGTCAGAAGAGATTAATATGTGTCTTTTTTAATCCACTTTCAAATATATTAAAACCGCGTATTGTTTTTTTGTTTTTTTTTTTTTTGTTTTGGTGGAAACGTAAGCTCTCATAAATTTTGAAAGGTTGTTTGTTCATCCCTACTCCATCCTCCCAGTCTTTATGCGAAAAGCCCTGGGAACAAGGTTGAAAACTATTTTAAAAAATAGTGAACTGTTTCGCAGCATTACGCAATAGAGGACTTTTTCCTTGTTTACATAGCCTCAACTAAACACCTGGGGGGTTCGGAAAATTCGAGACAGTTATGCAAACCCTCGACTGTGTCTCTGGTTTGCATAACTTTCGAGAGTTCTCACAGCTCCCAAGTGTTTAGATGTGGCAATGTAAACACGTACAAAGCACTCTGTTGCTGTTATAAAATATTTCTCAGTTTTTACATACTCTCATCTCAGCACACCTATCGACCAATGGGAGCGCGCGTAGTATCTCACGTATTTTATAACACAATTCGCGATTTTTTTAAGAGGCCGCTAAACACTAAGTCTAATTTGATTAAACTGAATCAAGGAACAACGACTCCCAGTGACTATAGTGTACACATTCTTTATTGTAACGAACGTTAATATTTAACAATACAGCTATTAAAATTACAAAGTCGTTGCTGGTCAACGATAGAGCATTAACCTACAGTTTTTATTTAATAATTTTCATCGTCAACTGATCGATAGTAACGAACGATAGCGTTGATTAATTATATAGCTTTATTCCCTTTTCGCTGACTGGTGGATAATAGGGCCAGTATTAATTTTCAACCTGAGCAAAACAACTGCGGGCGAAATAATTTTGCGATCATTAAATAACTGATTTAAGAGCCCGTTCAGACTACTTAATGGTTTACCTATTACACAATAACCGGGGATCCGTTTGATGCAAGCTTTATCGCTTGAAGCTTGTATTGGCATCACTAAGGATAAAATAACTCCGATATTTTTCGATATCTCATATATATCACTATCACTTGATAACGTTTTTGATATATTTTATTTTTTACATCTTAACGTTGGTTTTTTACCATGACAAATCAAAAGCAGAGCACAACTTACTCGGAATCTTGGATTCAGAAAACACAAACAAAACTCGAGTGAGCTTCCAAGCTGGATCATAGAGCTTGCATAAAACGAACGGTTATCAACCTTAACTGGGTAATTTGTATGGAATAACCTTACAAAGTTTGACGCTTTTATGAAAACTATACATAACAACAAACAGACCAACGATGGAATAATAAATATACTTTTTTTTCCCTCTGTTTTACAGAATTTACTCGTATGCTCGTATTTTTCTTTTCTCGTTTACATTTTATACAAAATTAATAACATTTCAAATTTCTCTCGTGTCTCTACACTTCACTGTACAACAGTTGAGCTGGTTACCTGACCACTCATAGAAGTTCAACACTAAACAAAGCTTTGTTAACCCTATACTCCAAGCTAACAAACGTCTCTCTCTTAACGCGCTCAGTCACATCCGGGTCATTTGAGAATCGACCCAAAACATTCCATACTGATGAAATGGATCTAAAGATCTGTGTCTCTGATTGGCTGTTGCTCGGTGACCAATTTTCGCGCGCAAATAACAACCAATCAGAGCCAATACATGGACCACTGCGTCACCAATATGAAATGATCGAGTCAATAATCTCGCTTGGATGACGAAAGCGCGAAGTAAAAGGTTTGCTCTATTGGGGGCTCCTAACAGTGCACATCGGTTTGAAACGCTAACATGAGAACCCTACTCAATATTGTTGATTAAATACTCTTAACATTGGTATTTGGTTTCTAAATGTTCTTTTTAAAAAAGCCGAGAAAAAGATGGAGACAAACTAAGGTTGTATCTGAGAGGGCTGTAATACGGAGGTGACTTTCACCACAAAACGAAAAAGCAGAGCTTGAAGTTAGGCGTGATTTGTCCAACGTTCCCTAGGAGGTGAACCTTCAAATTTGATATGTTTTATCCACAAGAAAACCATTTCTAAAACGACAAAGAACCAAGTAAACACAGGAACATGCAGGAGATTCAAACTGATGTGCAAGTAACGCTACCAGACATGGACAATTCACATTAGTATATAAATATCAAATAATGCTTGGAATAGAATTTAGCATAACACGGAATACCTAAACACGGAGAAAATTTATCAAGTGCGGTGCGGTTCACAACTTCTCTTTCACTTGAAGTAAAACCCGCAATATATACTATATATATATATATATATATATATTAGACCCTCCAAATATTCAACACATTCCAGACGGTAAGGAGTTGAAATCACATATTCAAAAGGTGGTTGTAAAGCTGAGCGAGAAAATAAGACGAACGCCGATATACTAAATTGTTAATAAGTCATTAACGTCCTCCAGTTTTATCGGTTCTTGCCGTACAAATTAAACTTACAATAAGGGCCTCCACAGACTAGACATTTAGTTGACGACAAATGTTTGTTATCGACAACTCAATGTTATTGACAACTAAGGGCCTCCACAGACTAAACGATTAGTTGTCGACAACTATTTGTTATCGACAACTAAACAATTGTCGACGACCAAAAGACAGTCTGTGGGACAGGTTGTGGACAACTAAATGCGAAAATTTTACGTTGTCGACAACTTCGCAGTTTCCCTTTTCCAGAAGAGAAACTGCTAGTCGTCGACAACGTAAAATTTTCGCATTTAGTTGTGGACAACCTGTCCCACAGACTATGTTTTTTGGTCGTCGACAACTGTTTAGTTGTCGATAACAAATAGTTGTCGACAATTTAGTGTCTAGTCTGTGGAGGCCCTTACTAGATCGGAAGCGAGCATTCCATTCAGTGGAAAACGGTGAAAAACGCCGACGACAACTACTAAGCAGTTTCCTTTTTCGAAAAGGGAAACTGCTTTAAAACTAAAAATTTAGCGTTTTGTTGTCGACAACTCATCCCACACATTACGCTTTTTAGCTGTCGATAACATTTAGTTGTGGATAATTAATAATTGTCGACAACTAAACGTGTAGTCTGTGGAGGCCCTGGGTACATTTATGACAATGCCACAAAATTTTAGTGCAGTAAATAAAAATTATTTCAATAAAAGATTCAGGGATATTGGCCAAGATTGCAATATAGTTACAGAAAGTCATAATTCTACATATTTTCAGAATTTCAAGCCAAGATGATGCATTCATTTTGATTCCAATTTTAATTCTCAGATGGTTCAGTTGAGTAAACGTAGAAGGCTTTGTATCTTTTCTTCGTCATTTCACCTCCTGATTTTAACGCCAATTTTCAATACTGTTGGAGAATTATATTTAATATCATAGCATTCCCCTGAGGTGAGTATTACGGCTAAATCTTTTTCGACGGATATTTCCCTCTTTCGCCAAAACCGTCGAACATACGTCTATAAAGGCTGAATGAATTAATATAGTCACTTTCAACCAACGATAAATGAATGAAGCTTACACGAATAACTGGACTGACTTTGCATAATGATTTACCTTGAGACACTAGTTCAACATTAACACTAATCTTAGGCCTCGTCCACTCTACGCCGGAGGAATTTGAAAACGCAACAATAACCGGCCATTTTGGAATTGTGTTTGACGAAACCTCGGGCAGGGAAATCACAATACTATCGTGATGTCATCGTTTTCAAAATGTTTTCCGTCCACACGAAAACGTGAAGCCGGCGTTTTCAAATTCTTCCGGATTGAAAAGCGTTTTCTAAAAGCTCCGTTTTCCTGACAGCTTAGTGTGGACGGCAGGACTAACCGTCGCAAAAAGCTGCGTTTTCAAATTTATCCAGCGTAGTGTGGTCACTGCGTTATAGGCTTTTTGAATATTCTTTTTCAAATGTATCTGACCTTTATCTCTAAGACACTATTCTGATAATAGTTACTTTATAATGCTGCGAAATTTTCTTACCTTTTCTCTTCCCTTGGGCGTCTTGAAGACGAATATTTTAAGACATTTTTTTTTATAATAAACAGCGCTTTACTGGAGCACACTACGGACCTATGCGCTTCGGTTTAATGTGGAGTGTAAACTTTCTGCATATAATGGAAACTGCATTTTTCAGTTCCCCTCAGATATAAATACATAATTACACCAATTGCAAGATATTTTACAAACTTTAAGGGTATCATTCTCAACAAGTAACCAGTAAAAAGATGACTTTGACAAAAAACGCGTTACTGACATCTAGGAATGAAAAGTTTAAAATTGCTGTAAATCTTGCAAATAGCGCACTAATTAAATTTACTACGTTTTGAATCCGGCGAATAGCTATTTAACAAAACCGGCTGTGAATGATAAATTAAAAGCCTTTCAGCTAGAATAATGAATTTAATACAACATTTCATTCTCTTTACGGCTTTGCCTCTCGTCACGCGAAAAAGACGATTGCGTGACGAGCAACGGGAGCACTTCGAACTGACTTGTGACGTCAGTTACCCGCCAAAAGAAAGGTTGCTAAGAAACGACATGCACTTTGCAAACGCTCCTACAGAACTAAACAATCAAATGGCCGAAATAAATAGTAACGCGGCTGTACAGTTATTCAATTTGTAATTTTGTTTGGATTCACGGACAGATGTTTAAGAAATTGATAATTGCATACTTTCAGTGGCTGTCTTCCTTGTCAATAGCTCTTTTGAGCCGTCCTGCCCTCTCCTCAGCTTTCGCCGTCCGTTCAATCCTCTCAGCTGATTTCGGTGACACGCCGCCGCACAAAGCTCTGACGCCGTGAAGAATGCGCTTCACGTGACCAACTTTCGTCACGCCAAGTTCCTAATGAGAGAAAAAAGGAATGCAAACTCCGTTATGAGAGGAAGTCCACTTTGCAGATGTTAAGATAACCTCCCAAACAATTCATCACGTGATCTGAATGAACACATTGGCGGAATCCGTCTATGCCATCTTGTCACCTGATTATCAAAGGACCTGGCCTATCACGTACCTTTAAATCCGGTCTCTCAAGATTTAACAGTTCAGGACCCCGGACGTCATGCTTTGCAAATTGTTCCTTGTATTCGGCTAGTCCCAAGCTCTCCAGCCAATTCCCGACCTCTTCCACTCCCCAGAACTTAATCATGCGACCTGGGGACAAATAGAGGCCAGTGAGCAGCAATTACGATATTTTAAATTCGAAACAGAAGGCCAAGCTACTCAGTTTATGGACGCCACTGTTTCAGGCTTGACGATATTAGAACCTTCTTCCATCCCTGACATCATAAGCCATCCCAGCTTACAAATTGGTTCACGTCATTTCTTCAAGATCGGTCTTTAAATTTAGCCATTGTGGTTGGATTTCCTCTTTCAGTTGTGTAATTTTTCAGCCGTCTTGAATTACTGACCAACTTACAGAACGTAACAAATACGCGGCAATTGCTAACCTGAAGGAGCTGACCCAACTTTTGTCATTTCCGGTTTCTTGGACTTCAGCAGTCCAGAAAAAGAGAACTTGCTTCGTCCTTTGCCTGAAGACTGCCTTTCAACCTGAAATCCACAAATTGAATTTCACCGTAATTCAGTATTAAATAATATTGTTATATCAATTTTTGTTTGCACTAAATTTGTCCATGAAATAACCCCCGTATCTCTCCCAAGGACTAGTCTACTTTCGAATCTCCGCCACCAAATTTGACTTAACTATATACTTTTACTTTTACAACTTCTATCAACCAAAGTCACAACTTAAGAGGAGCTTGGTTTTTGGTTCGGCGGAGACTTCCAACCATTCAGACCTTTTTCTGCATTCTTCGTGCAGTGGTCTCACACGAGGGAGCGTGCAAGATACTCCGTGACCGTGTACGTGAACCAATTACGTTTCGTGGCTGCTTGTATAATCTGATTTACGGAAGCCAACATACCGCACAACTGATTAGGCTAGTCAGTAGTGTTTCAGCGAAATATATTTTGTAGTGCCAATTTCAGCGTTTTTAAACAGTTTAAAAGACTTTTTACAGTGTGTCGAAGAAATATCGAAGACGAGATAGAGGCTTTAAGACCTAGAAGCTGGCGGGATGAAGATTAATCAATTTAATTTTGCGGTAATCGTGTGATGAATATCTCACTTCTTCCTCAGTCAGATTTGTGAGTCCGTAGGCTTCAACTGTCTTGCTGATGAGAGGTTTCACTGATGAAACAGCAGACCAGAGGTTCCGTTCCACTTCTGGCGGTACCGACTGCAAGTTGATTAACAAAATAATTTTTAAAACGGCGAATAACTTTAACTATACCATGCACAATTAATTAACTTGAAGGTTGAAATCGTACGGAGTATCTTTCGCAAAAGACTGGTGGTTAAAACTACCAAGTTTATGGATGAAACCCTAGTACAGTTTGTGACCACTCAAATGAAAGCTATTGAGCAGTACTTTCATGTGGTACCGTTTATTACGCTGTGCAAGGTGGTTCTAAGTTCTAAGTCCGTGGATAAAACCTTAGTGTGTGACCATTCAAATGAAAGCTATTGAGCAGTACTTCCATGTGGTGCTGTTTATTATGCTGTACAAGGTGGTTCTAACAAGGTGGTTCTAACTTCTTAGTCTGTGGATGAAACCCTAGTGTGTGACCATTCAAATGAAAGCTATTGAGCAGTACTTTCATGTGGTACCGTTTATTATGCTGTGCAAGGTGGTTCTAACTTCTAAGTCTGTGGATGAAACCCTAGTGTGACCATTCAAACGAAAGCTACTGAACAGTACTTTCATACTGCTGATTTTGCTGTTAAAGTTTCAGGTGTGTGTATATGTAATGATCACTCAAACGAAAGCTATTTTAAAATCAGCACTTTTATGTAGTATTCTTTCTTCTTGTGGACACTGCCTATGAGCGTGAGCTTATCTGTATGTCATACTTTATTTTCAATTAAATACTCACTGGTAAAAGCGTGGGCAGCTCAATTTGAAGAAAATATGTGACCGTTTGAACCAAGGCCCTCCCGGTGGTCACAAGTTCCGTTATACGTCCTTTATTTGGGGCCTGGGTAAGATAACAAAACATGAAAATACCATGTGACTCCAACTGGGTAACAGCAACGAGGAAAGCTAGGAACGAGACCTCACTGTCAAGACGAGGCTTCATTCTGAGAAAAGTTAAATTTTCGTATCATTGCATTTATTATAAAGGCTAAGAGCCTACATAGCCCTAACAAGCAAGTAATTAGTCGTGCAGCACCATTTCGCGTCACATATTTGTAGCTTCCAAACACTGTCACGCAAAAACTCCTCACACTTCAAAAGAAAAGCTGCGTGATGACCAAGACCACAGAGGACACTGGACTCACCTCAGGGATTTTTCCACCATCAGGCACAAGTTTCTCTATGGAATTCGCGGCGGAATCCGCTAAACTTAGCAAATCCTGAAGATCATTTTCACGCGATTCACACGCGGTCTTTACACTGAAAAAAAGAATGAAACAACACTGAGTCAATCTGTCTGTAACAATGTTACGGAGCCTGAAAATGGGCCCGTGGCGTCAAGTGCTGGCGCATGCCTCCTCGTGTTATATTCTTTAGCAAGTGCAATTTGAGACCCCGGGGAGGTACTCTCATAAATAAGCCATATAGATATAAGCCGCTGTGAAGGTTATGGTTTTCAGGCAGTTCAGTCTGGGATAGCGTATAGAAATCAGACAGTTTTGGTCAAGAATAGGATATAATCTACCGAAAAAGTGGTCAGTGTATAAATAATTTAGTCTAGAACAGGGTTCTTTACCCGAGGTTCTATAATAGAAATTTAAACTCGGAAGTCACTTTGTAAAATATTGGTATACTGTAGTTAGCGTACGTTGGACTACGATAGTGATTAAGTTCCTGCATGGAAAACAGCTAGTCTGGGATAAAACGTTTTGGTGTCTTGTCTACAATAGGGCTGCAAATTCAAGCTGAGCATGGCCTACTATAGGGTAAGGGTTTCAGTGTACTAGTCGCAAACTCCTACCGAATGATTTACAGAGTACCCCACGGGCTTGAGAAGAACGATAGGCGCTCTCGAGCGAAGTCAAAGAATGATCTCTAAATGCAGAACGAAACTTGCGATGAACAGTTCAACTTGCATCAACGTAACAACGATACTTCTACCCGGTACACATCATAGAAATAACTTGACTTGAAATGTTGTGGCAGACAAGCATGACATTGACACATTTGATGAGGGTGCCTTCACCAACGATCAAAAAGTATTCTTAACCATAACCGCTGGTCCCTGAGATCTCGGGCGCTGTAATGTAAGTATGTCAGCTCTCGGCTTGTCAAACTGTTGAAAATTCACGGAATGTGCCAACACTGTGACAAGACATTACAGAGATACACACATTTCTTACCAGTTGACTAAAATACTCAGACACTGCACGAGGGAGGTCAGCACCTCCGCTTGCGCGCTGGTCACACTCGAGCTGATCTTTTCCTGGAGTTCTGTCCATTCTCGCAACGTTAACTCGAATTCCTGAAATAAAAATCACAGTAAAAAAAAATAACTAAATAAATACACGTTCTGTAACAGAATCCATTTCGAAATACACTGTTTTTTTCTATAATAAATATCGACTGAAATTTGCGAAATTTTAAGAATATTTGAACAAAAACCCGAAGCTGAGACTTTGAAAAGAATATAATTTTGTGTTGAAAATTTGTGAATACAATACAATTATATGCTTTGAGCTAAACAGCATAAAATTCTTCCTTTCTCTAAACGGCAAACTAAGAAAGAAGAAGTTGTGTGTGTCGTACCAGGCTTAATTGCCTGCAGTCTGGCAGAGTCAATAAAACGGAAACGTCATAGCAATAATCTAAGAATATTCACAAGAATATTATCAGCCTAAAATCGGCAGAAAAATAACTTCAGCCTGGGCCGGAAAAAACAATATTCTTATGGGAAAAAAAAGAAAGCCAAAAACCAACTCCATAACAGTCATTTACCATTTATTTATTCAAATAACCTTACCCTGTCTCTAACCAACATCTGCGCGCGGTTTTTATGAACAATCTTGATATATCCCGGAGGTTGCATCCAGGCTTCCCCGTCCACTTGAACGGGAACTGATTCACCAAATATGGAAATTTTAACCGACCGGCACTGAAAGTAAACCAAACCAACACCGAGAAAACAATCTCACAACGCAAGAGTTTGAAAACCATTACATGATATTAATACCAAGAACGTCAAATAAAAAAATATATATATTAAGAAAAAGAAATTTAGCCAAGCAAACTACCTTGCATGAAGGCTGACTGGCGTCAAAAGAACTACGCAAACGAAGAGGTTGTAAAAGTACTTCAAGTCTTAAAGACGCGACTGCGACACCAAAGATAATGTTTTTATCGGCAGATTTACGAGCTAAATAGCTTACCTGAGCGATCCTGTGGTGCTGCATTCCTCCAAACACTTTACACATACCCTGATGTACAACAGAAACGAGTCAAATATTGCTTACAAGTACCAATTACATTTATGAAACAACACGAGTAAGATACAAGTTAATTTCGCTCACAGTTCCCACATAAAAACACCCAAAACGGATTGTGGACCTGCTGCCTCGGCGCCGATTAGACAGAATACTAAAAATGAGCTCATTCTCTAACTCAAGATTACTTAAAGAATTGCCTGATAGGGTGGGGGGGNAGAGAGAAAGGCGGGAAATCCATTCAAGGTTCTTGTTGTACCATTTCCGCGCACACTTTGTAAGCGAACTCGCCAACAGTAGTGTTGCTAACCAATACTAGTCAGCTGGCACTGAAAGTAAACCAAGTAAACCATTTGCCAGCTGACCAGCAAATGAAACCCCGTGCTCATTTAATAAATAAGGGGACTGCGACTTTAAAAACAGCGCTAATTGCACAAAAAATTAAAGCTTCCTTACCATTTGACTAGCACCGAGAACAGCCACAACTTCAAGGATGTTGTCATCGTTCGAAGGCTCTGTAAAACCCTGCAACATTCAACAATAGTATTAAGCAACGAAGGTATTGACGGGCTCAATACTTAATAGCCTAGCAGCCTGCGGTTGATAACAAAATGACGGCCGCTTCTTGGCGTTTTCGAAGTGTGTGTGAAGAGGATTTCGTTAAACTTTGGAACGACTATTAGATCTAAACTAAAACAATTAGATTATTCGCTCTCGATTTCTATGCGTGTCAGTTGACTCGGTCTGGACCCTCGGCAACTATCACGCGATAGAAATCTTGAGCTCATAATCTAATTGCTAAAGAGAACTATTATCAAAGAGTTGAGCACTAACGTCATCTCTCCCGGTCCCCCAGAAGTTAGCTCCACCCATGTAACTGCAGAACAACAAAACAAAGGTGATATCAATCAGAGAAGAAAGTTATGTGCAATTTACAGCTGACTGTCAAAAAGTAGAGACGAATTAAATCAGTGTTTACGGTATTTTCTCGCTTTGCGAGCTCTACAACTGTTTCTTAACACTCGTTCAACGAGCTCCTCAATCTTCTACATGCAAATAGGCCATTTTCGTATTCTCGGTATTGGACTGGGACTAGCTTGCAATGGAGGCTCGTGCGGGGGAATACCATTAAAAAGAGATTACCGTCATTTACATTTGAAAAGACTCCCCGCATTAGCCTCGTTTGCAAGCTAGTTCCAGTCCAATACCGAGAATACGAATATGGCCTATTGCAATAAAACATCGTCTTTCCTAGCGACAGTGAAGATTATATGCTTGACATATTTTTCCATTTGTCAAAAACGTTTAATTAGTACCTTGCTATGTTTAATACTACAATTCCTTGAAGGCTTGGAAGATTAATTTTGTGTCCATCGCACTGCAAATTAAACAAATAACGAATATCAATGGCAGTCTATATGTTAATTGCCACGTGATATCCAGGTTGGTCTGGGAAGAAGAGCAATAAAATTCAATATTCGCATGTGATTGGATGAGAGGTTCGGAAAACCAACACAGGACAAGAAAAGGTAAGACAACTTTTATTCAAACACGGAAAGAAGGCCATAAGACCCTTTTATAACGGTGAGATTTTGCTGTTTTTTGGCTTATGATTTCAAAGTTCAAATCGCCGCCTAAACGCTCGTAATTGACACAGACAGCTGAAATGATCACTACAAAATAGTACTTGAAGACACAGCTCTATTAGCCGTCTGAAATAACGACAGTGCAGGTACATCTGATAGAATCCGGAAATATAACAGGTACCAAACAAAAACCCATTGATTCTTCTTACCTCTAGCCTCACTCTCTGATCTAGATTCTTATAAGTTCTCTGTAACAGCTCTCGTCCACCCAACAAACCATAGTAGAGCAAATTTAGCGCCCGAACCCTACAACCAAAGGAGAGAAAGTGTCGAAACGATGGTAAGCATAATTTTCTGCATCTAGCGAGATGAAAAATGTAACTTCTTCTTACAGTTCGTCTGACTGTCCAGCAAAAAGGTGGTTAGAAAAATGAAAATCATCAGGTAACAGATTGATAAAACACCAAATTCTCATTATTGTTATAGGAAATGTATGGAAAACCGAACAGAAAATTTACATGTCAAGCGTGGAACTGATAGGACTACAAGTTAAAACACCGTTTCAATATCGTACCTGAATTTCTCTGGATGTTCTTCCCTCCTGGTGTGAAAATCCAGCGCAATCTTAGCGTCCAGTCCGATTCCAAAGTAATTGTTCATGACGCATTTTTCCGTGAAACCCTCACTGTAAATAAAATTTCAATTCGCCATACAGTCAGTACACGCGTAAACGTTGGATACTGATTTTGGATTTATAAGTTTTATTTTGTAGTAAAAAACAAAGTGCTCGACGACCATAATGTTCTCTTTGTTAGCTCGTGAGCAAGCTTTCTGGGAGTAGCGGGTCCAAGAACACCCATGAGACCTTGCTCACAAGCTGCGTTATTCCAATAAGCACCGCGTTTGAAATTGTTGTTTATAAATACAGGCTTCATTGCACTCCACTCGCACTCCACCCGCACTCCACTCGCACTCCACCTTTACAGTGACGCCAAAGTGACGATTTTTCAAATTTTCTCAAATTCTACCCATTAATTAAGGAATAGTGTCCAATTTTGTTTTAGTTATACCATGTGCAGGGTGCTGTTTGTGTACTGTCGTGAACTGGCGTCTCGTCATGAAAGATCATAAGTACATTGTACGAGAGTTATGAACCGATCAATGGCGAGTGAGCTAAACACAAACACAAAGTCGCTAGAAAAACCCACCCCGATGAGGACAACCCTTCCTCTTACGCGTCAAAATGTCGGAACTTCCCTGAAGTCTTTTATTAGGAGAAAACGTTAAAGAAGCTGAGTCACGGTTTGCGCATATTGAAAAGTTTAGCCTCAATTTTCAAATTCGTCGTTCGTAATCCGTGTTCATCTTCTTCATCCTTAGCCATCCTAGTTCCTTTATGGTTTATCATTATCTCTTTGGTGTTTTTCTATCTTGTTAAACTGTTATTTTCAGGTTTCCTACCATTTAAAGGTAATTTTTTATGTGGCCAAAATAACTCAAAATGCCGTGACTGAGCCCTTTTAAACTTCATGAAGTCTCAACTTACACATCAAGCACGTTGTTCATCATGGGCGTGGCTGCAGCGCACAGCGCGTCAGCACTGGCAAATAGCGCTCGACCAATCAGAGAGCCCACCAGCCTCTCACTGGGTCTCTCCTTAAGAAACGCTCTGGAGATTATACAACCGCTGAATTGTACCGTGGGCCTGCCACTTGTTCCAAAAAGCTTTTCGTCAAATGGCGGTTCAAAGCTGAATGGACGCGCGCAGCCTCGGCTGATGCATCTCGGGGATTTTCGCTGCTCTAAGGAGGAACAGCCGGCAGGAGTGGAGTCTGGATCTAGCAATCGATTATCGGAGGGACCTGGGTCAGAATTTGGACCCCCTTGGGAGTGGCCTGGAACGGTAGCCAAGATGTTCCCATCGTTATCTGAAATGACGGTCAAAGCAAAGTCAGACGAAAAACTTTTCTAAGGACAATCAACATTAATTTCCGTGTATCAGTGTTCTAACCATGCAAAAATTGCAAATATGATGTTCTTTACGCTTCAGGTAATAGTGCGTAACTAGAGAATGTAGCGTGACTCTAGAGCACTGATGTCACGCAAAATGAACCAGTCACACTAACAGAATAAGAAAACTGACACGCGCATTACTTTATAATTAGAATTTTGCGCCACGGCAGACAACACAGACAAAGTGGAAACATACTAGTGAGTTTTATTTTCCTTGTGTCTCGTAACTCCCTGAAATGACGGGATGATTAAAAGGTCTGTATGATTGACACACATATACCTTGTACGGGTTCCAGTTCCTCCTCAATGCGAGCTGTAGATGTGGTTACGACTTCCCCAGCCGCTGACGCGGCCACCGTCACAATAGCTTCCGCTAAGGAGCTAGTGGACGCACTCGTCTGTGCATTCTGCTCATCTACAGCTGTGACAACAACCACAAAAACAAGTGAAATATAGTTTATTACACACTCAGCTATACTCGCAGAATATCTCCCTGAAACAGACACTTTGGATTGGAGAATCAAAGATAAAGACTTGACAGCTGCCAGGAAATAACCAAACTTCCAGAGGTGACTCCAGACCCTTTGTAGAAAAACCCAAAGCATCTCCCCCGAAACGCATGGATCGTGCTTCATACATACAATTAAGAAAGCCTCTAAAAGTGGTACTATTAAGTGTTTTTGTTCCCAATGTAACATCTAGCACATACCTTGTTCTGCATGTTCTATAATCTGTTTCAGCGCCTTTTTCAAGCTGTTCGCTCTGGACATAAGAGCTTCCCTGGGAACGAACACTTTCTGCTTTCCGTTACCATTCCCAGCATTCCCTAGGCCCTCAGGTGACACTCCCTCCTTTGCAGGGGTGGGCAGGGCTTCTGATTCTATGCTCAGCGTGTTCAGGAGAAGGTTCAGCTTCTCATTAAGTACTGCGCACTGAAAAAGGAAAAGGAGCCTCATTCAGAAAACGGAACACATGTGGCTGATAGAGAAGTACTGATACAGGTTAAAAGAGCTGTGAGCTGGTAGACTACGAGTAGTCCCTCTTTCGCTTAGTCCATGACCGTAAATAAGCCTCGAGGACAAAATGGCCGCGCGAAATCCTGGGGGCGAGAAGCCCTTCGCGCGCTTCTCGGCCTCAGGATTTCGCGCAGTCATTCTTTTTTTTTTTTTTTTT